AGTGCAGCCCAGAGATGGGCCGGGGGAGGGGGAGGCGTTACTTTCCCATGCGCTCACAATGTGCGCATTGTTTTAAAATATTCCGTTCACCCTATGCTTCATTACCAAAACAATCCCCAGTTTCTAAAGGAGGGCAGATGTGGTGGCGTGAAGACAGAGGAAAGATTTGCCAACTCTCGTTCCTTTCGGGTTTTCTCTTCTGGGGAGTTCCCCGTGATCCCCAGGGATGCCTAGATCAGGAGGTTTGTAGGCACAATGGTAGGAGGAGTTACGGAGCAAGCAAGGGGAGAATAACACTCTTGAGGGCCAGATGCTAAGTTCCTTGCTTTACCTCCACTGCTTTACTTAATTTTTGCAATCCCCGTCATTTTCAAAGGAGGATTCTGGGGCCCCTGGGGAGGTAACCAGCCAGGAGTTCCTACAGCTCCAGAACATCGGCAAATGTTCCCACCCGGCTGCCTCTCCTTACTGAACCAGTGCTGTAGCATCTTGCTGCTACTCAAAGTCTGCTCTGGAGACCTGCAGCGTTCCCGTCACCAGGAGTACGGCCAAACTAGAGAACACTGAGCTCCGTCTCAGACTTATGAGCCGGAACCTGCATTTTAATAAAATTTCCAGTGATTTCCTGTGCATACAAGAGTGGGAGAGAGCTCTACTACCGAGGACTTGAAGGAGGAAGACTTGGCAGTGACCCCCATAAGCACTGGCCAATTCTCAGGACTGGAATCAGCAGATTTGATGGACAGACTGGCCTGTCTCAGGAGGCAGGAGGGATGGATGGACCAGGGATGCAGCTCAACACCCTGCAGTGCCCAGGCCAGCCTCCCACACCAACAAAGACTTATACTGCCCAAAATATCAGGAGTGCTGGTATGGAGAAACCCTGTACTAGTTGTCTCTGTCTGGAATTCATGTCCTGTAGAAGGTGTCTGTAGCTGCAGATGTACGCCAGTCTCCAGCAAGCGGATGAGATGATACAAATGGCAGTGTACTGTGCAGACGTGGATCTCCTTATTGGATTTGCAGAGAGCCAAAGAGCTTACACTGAGCCATGAACAATTCCTTGGGCATTCGGACAGTCTCTGGCCTTAGTACCAAGGATGCAACGGAAAAGTTTCTAAGCAAGCCCTGAGTGCCCATGATGGGGGTGCTGCAAGGTGACACCCACCCGAGCATGGCAACAGGCAGCGGGGTCTTGTGTCCCCTTGACTTACTCTGCAGACCTGCCCAGAGCTCTGTCCTACCTTTCAGTTCCCAAGCAGGCGGTGTTGGGTCAGCTGTGCCACCTGGAGGCTGAGAGAGGAAAGAGAAGAAATGCCAGGCTGGGGAAGGGTGGCAGAGCCTCACCCCGCCACCTTCCTCCTCTCCAGGCTCCCTGCTGCTTCGCTGTGCTCACTCAGCTCTCGAATTCCACCACTCTGCCGGCACTGGCAGACACCTCAGCCTCCCTCTCCCTGCCCTTTCTCCTTAGGTTCTGGTCCAGCACACAGGGACTGCTTCCCAGCATCTCCTCTGCCCCGCCCTCCCTCCTGCTTTTGGTTTTTTCT